TATGATCCTCCGAATTAACATGTTCTGTTAATGCACAAGAATTAACATTTCGTCTACAGTCGCTCTTATGGGAAGTGATGCGACTACTTAGAGGTCTAGATGTTTGTCCTATATATGTTTTAGAACAATCCATACAAGAAATTTTGTATACTAAATTGGATTTTTGTTTATTTGAAATTGGAGCTTTTACTTTACTGTATAATTTAGATATAGAAGTGACATTTGTTTTAGATATTTTGAGGTTATTATTTCGGAATACATTAATTAATTTTGGTGTCAATTCCTGAATATTATTCTGCTGAAAATTATTTATAAATTCACTAAATGAAAAAGAATCTTTAATATAATAAGGATTGTCTGTTTTATAGGAAGTTGTTAAAATATTCGTTAGAAATTTACAAAGTTTTGAGTTAGGTGCATCGATGGAAGATACAATTGGTCGCATGGAAATAATTCGTGGACACAACACTCAAAAAATAGGGGCAAACCGCGGACACGTGTTTCTGGATATTGGCCTCATCAGCGTAGTGCAGCCAAGTGTAAAGATGGGCAACACTTGTTTGCCGAAAGCAGGAAACAACACAAACACACGAAGTCAACAACAGAAGCCAACCGCACATTTGTGGTTCCAGTTAGAAGACCTAGAATTCCTAGGCTACATCTAACATGTCCACGTAGGCAGATATAGCTACCTGCGTGACATCCGGGTCCAGGATATAAATACAAATATAGATTTTATCGAATGTGCATGATATAAATCAAAGATTAAACAATTTGTGGACACAACACTCCAAAAAGGGGGGGCAAACCGCGGACACGTGTTTCTGGCTATTGGCCTCATCAGCGCGGTGCAGCCAAGTGTAAAGATGGGCAACACTTGTTTGCCGAAATCAGAAAACAACACAAACGCACGGAGTCAACAACAATCGCCGTTTGCGATAAGCTACACGGTATCGTGAAAAAATAATTCATGGCTTTTGCATCACGATAATGCAGCTGCTCACTTGTCAATGAAAATGCACCTTATTTTTTGAACAAACCACGTATACCATATTTCGAAATCCATCGACGTTATTCAAGTTGGGTTAGGATGAATTGGCAATTCATTCGGAAATATTGAAATAAACGTGTATGCTCGTTTCTCCATTTGAACATTAATGTTCGAAGAATATTATAATGAAAATATTTGGCAGTTATGTGTGTGAATCAGGTGACTTGTGAATATCAGTTGTTAGACAAATATTTGACCTAATTGTGATTGAATCTAAAGAAATGAACTTTAAACGTTCATGATTGAATTATGGAATATCATTGACTTTAGGTCGATGATGGCCACTATCTTGCACTGACGAACGAGTGGCTAATGAGGCCGAAACCGGTCTGTAAATGTGCCCGTTCCAAAATTGAATGTCAACTCTTTCAGTTGTATTGCCAATTGCATATGCAGGAAATTTTCTGTGAAGATTCCTGCACTGAATCCTGTCGGATATAATCCAATGCCCTTCGTGGTATTAGCCAGGGGAGTAGTTGTTTACTGATAGTCGTCAGTCCATTCAACCTACTGTGTAGGTATATCCGAGACTGGCTTGAATGTTTAAAGTTCATTTCTTTAGATTTGTTTACTGCCAGTCTTCAAGCATAGCCCACTGACTAATAAGAAAACTAATTGTGATTCCTCTAATTATTTTCTGATGAATCAATCCTACATGCTAGGCTACTTTCCAGAAGAGTTCAAGAATGACTTAGTCATTCTTCTTTTTTAAAAAAGAATTATAAATAACCTGAACTACTACCGACAAATTTCATTACTTTGTTCTTTTTTGAAACTGAATAAAAAAGTGTTGGCCACTAGAATAGTGAATTACTCAGAGTCAAATAATATACTATGTAATAATCAACATGGATTTAAGAAATATCGTTCCATGGAAACCGCTGCATATGATTATCTCAATAACATATTCTTCGAAGTTGATGCCAATAGATTTGTAATTAGTATTTTTTTTGATCTGTCAATGGCATATGACACTGTTTCACCAGACTATCTACATGTAAAGTTAAAGAGGCTTAGGTTTCCATATAACATTCTGACTTGGATAAAATTCTACATGAGTGGTCGGCATTTGACAGTCAAATATATGTGATGTGACATTAGGAGTTCCTCAGGGAGCAGTACTGGGACCTTTACTTTTTGTGGTATTTGTTAATGATCTCTCAGAACATGTTGACAATTGCTTCATAACTATGTTTGCAGATGATACCACGATGAGAATCATTTTGTATACACTGGAAGATGTATTAATAAGAGTCAAAGAGGTTATTGATGTTTTCACGTCATGATATGAACGCAATGATTCAATATTGAATACCTCTAAATCTGTTTCGATCAAATTTTAGAACAAAAAAAGTAACATTCCAGAGGGAGTTCATGATACTGATGGAATAGCAATGTCACATGATATAACATTTCTAGCTACCATGTTGGATGAATCTTCAAATTGGGATCTGCATATTGGTGGGGTTTGCAAGAAACTCAATGCAGCATTTTTCGGGAATAATGTAATATAATATTACAAATAAAAAAATACGTACAGCTAAGCCTGTTCTCAAATCCATTTCCAAAAATCCACCTGCTCTGATGTTCATCGTTTTTTGACCTCTCAGCAAGATCATTTGGGTAGATTTCGAATGCTCGGGATATTTATACCAGTTGCTGAAATATATGCTTGAACTAATTTTGGTTGCCTGAAATAACAAGTTCGTCAATTTGTAGCGTACATATCGGAATCTCAATAAAAATGTTGAAGTGTAAGTCTTTATGATATCCAAAATTGCGTTTACTTTATAAACTATAAACTAGAATGCATACAAAAACTTTCAGATCACATCACACAAGAGTTATATTTGGGTGAGCTCTACGAAGAAACAGATGAAGTTTCGATGGAGATGGGCATCCAGCATATACTCTGTTCAAAAAATAAAGTGAATCTACATTTTCCTCAAAAAAATATTTATACATTCGTCAATTTCAAGTTTGTCCCCTTCAAAGTAGTTCCACCCAGTTACACTCGTGCCAGCATTTTTTCCAATCCTCGGAGCAATTCTGATATGCACTTTTCGGTATTTCCTTGAGCCGTCTCAGCGGTTCAGTTTGTATCTCCTCAATCGTCGAAAAACGCCGTCTTTTCATGAGCTTTTTCAATCTTGGAAACAGGGAAGTAAGTAAGTAAGTAATGATGAGTGAGCAGGTGCATTATCGTAGTCCAAGAGCCATGAATTAACTGTTCTTCTACAATACTGGACGGTTTCTTCGTATTGATTGTCGCAAGCGTCGCATAACTTCGACATTTGATCGAACTTGCCGTGTTTGTTTTCATTTTCGCTCTCCTTGGCTCTTTCATTGGAACGATTGGACTTTGGTTTCGATGTCATACCTATATACTCATGATTCCACCAGTTATGGCCCTTTTAAACAAATCTGATATGCACTTATTGGTATGTCCTTGAGCTTTATCAGCTGTTCGGTTTGTATCTCCTCAATCATCGCAAAACGCATTTTTTTCATGAGCTTTTCCAATTTTGGAAACAGGGAAAAGTCGCAGAGGGCCAAATCTGGTGAATACGATGGCTGAGGCATGATTACTGTGTTGTTTTTGGCCAAAAAATTACGAACAAGTAATGATGAGTGAAAAAGTGCATTATCGTAGTCCAAGTGCCATGAACTAATTATTCTTGTACAATACCAGACGTTTTCTTCGTGTTGATTGTCGCAAGTGGCGCACAACTTCGACACTTGATCGAACTTGGCGTTTTTTTTTATTTTCGCTCTCCTTGGCTCTTCCATCAAAACGATTGGACTTTGCTTTCTATGTCATAACTATATACTCATGATGTCACCAGCTATGCCCCTTTTAAACGAATCTGCATCAGCGTTGACTTCTCTAATAATGAGTCGACGATTCTCCATAACAATTATCTTCACTTCATAAACATTTTCATCGATTGTTCATTTACTGGGGCGTTCAGGGCGAGCGTCATTATTCACGTATTCTCTACATTCCGTAAAAAGCGTGTACCACTTGTTAACACTTTAGCGGGTTAGCTGTCCTTGTTCATCTTTCACTGCCTGAACCACTGTGCATGCTGTTTTTGGCTACTGCATTGGCTTGGGATATGGGGGTTGAGCAAACCGGCCATCGGATGCCTGCTTCCACGTAGCTCCGCTGGATACGAGAATGATAGAGTCAGTTGTGGTTCTGTTATTCTCTAACTGAATGGCATCCCAACGATGGCTTAATCCTAAGGTATGTGTATCTGTGCCGAGGAGATGAATGACACTGAGCCTATCAGTGGTCTCTACGGAACCTTCGAGATACCAGGCGCCCTATCGTCGTAGCATCGCCTTGTCACGGTAATGCGGGGCTCTGCCGTGATTGACCTTCTTTCCCTAGCTACTCGTGTGACCTTTATGGACAGAGTAAACGTAAAAATTCTTTCTGAAGCTGAGTCTAATGAGGAGAAGGATGTCGAGCTTACGATTCCAACTGACCTCCTTGTAAATTAAGATCAGGAGCGAGTCTACAGAGGAGATCGATGTCGAGTTTACGACTCCAACTGACCTCCCTGTAAATTGAATTCAGGAGCGAGTCTACAGAGGAGATGAATGTTGAGTTCACGACTCCAACTGACCTCTCTGTTTTATTCAAGGAGTGAGTCTACAGGGGAGGTGGATGTCGAGTTTACGACTCCAACTGACCTCCCTGTAAATTTAGTACAGGAGTGAGTCTACAGAGGGGATGGATGTCGAGTTCACGACTCCAACGGACCTCCCTGTAAATTTAGTTCGGGAGCGAGTCTACAGAGGGGATGGATGTCGAGTTTACGACTCCAACTGACCTTCCTGTAAATTTAGTTCAGGAGCGAGTCTACAGAGGAGATGGATGTCGAGCTTACGACTCCAACTGACCTTCCTGTGAATTTAGTTCAGGAGCGATTCTACAGAATGGATGCATGTCGAGTTTATGACTCCAACTGACCTCACTGTAAATTTAGTTCAGGAGAGAAAGTTGCGGCGTTCGCAGAATCTGTCTCAGGTAGGGAAACAAACCCTCCATGAGCAGGTTAGCAAACGTTTGCGCTCAAGTGATGATTCACCAAAACCAGAGGCGAAAAAGCCCTGCACGGCTGAATCTAAGTCATTGTCAGGTGTAGCTGACGTGCAAAAACCCCCATATGGGAAGGTTGTCGTAGGTATCAAGGTGGGAATCTTACAACTTGACTATCCGACTACCTCATTAACATATCCTTCGAAGCGCTTTGGATGATGTTTACAGTTGGTGCCTGAGGGAGCAGATGTCTGTCAACCCCAGCAAAACTGTGTTAATCCCCTTCACCAAGAGAAGGAATTTGGACGATCTACCGCCACTTTCCCTCAATGGTTTGGTCCTTCCATTTGGAATGGAGGTGAAATGTCTTGGCATTGTCCTTGATAAAAGACTCACCTGGAACGCTCACTTGGAAAAAGTTTTACACAAAGCCAGACTGTCTCTATGGACATGTCGAAGGATTCGTGGTAAAACTTGAGGTTTAGGTCCCAAACAAATCCATTGGATTTATGTGAGGATTGTCAGACCAATGATCACGTATTGTGCAATTGCTTGGTGGCCGAAGGCTTTACAGAAAACGGCCCAAGCGAAGCTCTCTGGCTTACAGAGACAGGCTTGTCTCGCTATCAGTGATGCCATCAGTACCACACCATCAGCGGCCATGGAGATCCTTCTAGATTTACCTCCTCTCCACATTTTTCTGGAAAGAGATGCTACATGGACTGCATACAGACTTGTGCACATTGCCAATTGCACAAATCAATTCAATGCAGAGTGCAACAGACTTTTGGTTGACTTCGGTAGTCACAGCATTCTGGAAATGACCTCTGACTTCATGCTTTCAACTGTCAACTACGAACTGCCTTATAAAGTACTATTCCCGAATAGAGAGGACTAGATCCTCCGGAAGAAGGAAATATTAAGAGCAGATAGTTGTTGGTTCACAGATGGATCAAAAACACCTTCCGGTTCTGGTGCAGGTGTTTTCAGGCGCAGACACAGGACAGAGTTATCTACCTGCCTAGGAACTTATGCGACTGTATTTCAAGCGGAAATTTACGCTATTGAATTATGTGCGGAGAGATTGGATAAATCCAACCTCACTCACAAGTCACTAAAAATATTCTTGGACAGTCAAGCGGCGTTGGAAGCTCTTGGCTCCCACCGAGCAACGTCTAAATTGGTAGCAAACTGCCAAAAAAGACTCTCCTCGATAGGAAGACTAAACAGATTGTCTCTGGGCTGGATTCCTGGCCATACTGGCCTGGAAGGCAATAAAGCTGCTGACTCTCTTGCATAGGAGGGTGCTGCTTCATTGGACTAGAACCTGTCATTGGCATCGCTTTGAGCTTTGCCAAACAAACTCTTAACACCTGGATGGCAAGAAGAGTTATTCACCCTTCGAAGCTTGATTCCAAACAGTTTTGGACTACAGTAGGGATGAACTACGATGTCTACAGGCCTTCTTACAGGTCACTGTCATTTGAATCATCACATGCAGAGACTTGGACTGTCGGAAGACAGTGTGTGCCGCCTCTGTCTGAAAAATGATGGAACTGCAGTGCATATACTTTGTGCCTGCCCCGCTGGGAACCGAATCAGGTTCTTCGAGTTCGGCAGATCCGTACTCCCACCATCTGTCCTGAAAGACTACTCACCATACAAACTAATCGGCTTCGTTAAGAAGCTGGGTTTATTTGGCCGAGTGTGAATAGGTGTGAGCCACGATAAACCCTTATGGGTTGCGGTGGAGGGTCGAATAGATCCACTCACTTCAGACCTACCTACCTACCTCATCAACAGAGCATATACTTTGTGCCCGCCCCGCTGGGGACCGAATCAGGTCTTTAGAATTCGGCAAAGCCATACTCTTACCATCTGACCTGAAAGACCACTCACCATTCAAACTAATCGGCTTCGTGAATAGCTGGGTTTATTTAGCTGAGTGTGAATAGGTTTGAGCCACAATAAACACTTTCGGATTGCAGTGGGGGGTCGAATAGACCCACTCACTTTGGACCTAACAAGACCTGTTAACACTTTTCTGACTCAGGGTACAATCAGTGCACTGTATAAGCACTCAATTCAAATTTTTACAACAGAATTCATGCAAATTCTTCTATCCATTTTTTATGGCTGAAAATCGTCTCCTCTAACCAACAAACTAAACACGCTAAACATTTGAAACTGTGAATATATATTCGAGACGAGTGTATGAACATAAACAAATAAAAAAATCGCTATTTGAATTCACGAAGCTCGCGAAATTTGAACATTCACCTCATTTGTTGAACAGTCCACTATAGTATTTCTGGTAACTTACTCCTTATTTGATGGAAAGTGAAAGACCAGAACGCGAAATAGAGGCCCCAATAACCGATAACTATCATCGAGCTATCGAAGGCAATGTAGCTCAGCTCCTCGCCATATTACTTACAAAGTCATAGAAGCGGTAGGATACGAGTAGCGTGGTAGCTATTCAAAGCCAGAAGGAGAAGTTCATGAAAGTTATGGGCTCTCAATACTGTCTAGTTCAATGAAAAAATAAGCAAATAATTTTAGAAGGTTTTGAATTTATGTATTAATCATTTCAGAGATCACATTATATCCAAGACATTCTAACATATTTCATCAGGTTATCGCCAAATTGAAGTTATTATCAAATCTTTCTCTATGTGCTAAAATTTCAATTCCATACAAATATGGCGTCATTATAAAAGTAGACGTGTACGTAGATATTCCCAAAATTCACAACCTGAAAATTTCAGGAGCTTAGTTTAAAGCCTGAAAAACTTTGTTATCGCTTTTGAAGTTTTCTTTGACCAATGATTCTCCATATACATACGAGCAGCAAAATTGATCTCTCTCTCTCTCTCGGAAATCCAAGGTGAAAGAAAGAGATAGGGAAATAGAAAGAAATCAGAATATTACTTTGTTGTACAAGTGCAGAACTAATAACGGGTGACAGAAACTGACCTATCTATCATCTGTTCATGGTTTGTTATTATTCAGAATATTGATGATTCAGATTTTGCCACTTTTGATATAGTAGGGAACAGAAAACACTGTGCTTTCGATCTAATTTTCGTGTATTATAAAATGGCTAAATATATCAAAATTGTTGCAGTAAAAAAAAGGGTGCAACCAGTATTTGACCATATCTGTGATGAATATGATTTATTTCCACTCATTTCACATATCAATCTATAACATTTGGTCATGTGCGAATTCACTACTGAAAATTTCAGGTTAACTATGATTCAGTCACCAATAGAAAATTTTGTTGGTTGGTTGTTTGTAATGATGCCTTCATGGTAGATCAGAAGGTATATGATAGGTAGAAAACTTTTTCAAATATATTCTTGTTATTTTTTGGTGTGCAAATGAGTTGATAATTGTTTGTTTTAGACCTTCTCTAGTTGGGGACGGATTCAACATCGGAATTCATCATACAATAATATGCAAACACGTGTTCTAAACATGTTCAGAAGGAGAAGAGAATTCAGAGCACTATGACTAGTTGAACGAAATTAGAATGTGAATAGTGGTAGTTCTCAGAAAAAGTCGATGCAAACTATGAATAGCTCTACTTATACCTCATCAATCATATCCTGGCAGGGGTAGCAGAAACAGATCATGAATGCAGTGCATCCTGCGGTAGTGTACACGAAAGCTCTTCTGATAATTTGGGGATCGGAACTGAAAAAAATTATAGCTATTATATTCATCGCCAAATTTTTAATTTTCATCAGAAAATTTTGCTAACCTGTCTCAAAATCGATATAAATGAAAATCTAGAGATTTTTTTTAATGAAAAATGAGATTGAGAAAATGTTTGAATTGAAGGGGTTATATTTTTTAGGAGTGATTAATTTTTGGAAAAGAAATTTTTTGGCTTTCTACTACTCCATCTTGATATATTTTTTTTTTGTATCAAGATGGAGTAGTAGAAAGTCAAAAACTTTCTTTCCCAAAAAAGAGAAAATGTTCTTATAGGACGAAACTACAGTTACGTAATTTACAAATGAAAGTGGCAAAAAAATATAAAAAAAATCAGTCTTCATTTTTCATGATGACCTTTTACCACGTAGTAACAGCTACATCCATCAATTCACTATTTAGTGACATATTTCAATATACATATGTTCATTTCCAGTGCTGTGTTACGGAATTTAATTCCTTATGAATATCTGACTCCTGTGTTAGGGACGTATTGAAATGAGTCGATATGATGGTTTTCAACAAAACGGTTGAAATAATTATTGAAAGTATCTGAGGTAAACCAATAACATAAAAGTAAAATTAATTACTCACAAAGTAGTTGCGTTGTACATCTCCACACACATACTCAGAACTATTATCACCATGTAAAAGAACAACGATGTCGAAAAAGTGTCATTAATTTTCTCTACATATCTGAAAAATGTATTCGAAATAATTAAATCAATAATACTGTAATTTTCCATCCATAGAGGTGAATAATTACTATTTCACTAAACAATAAAGTACATGCAAGTTGGGAAAAATTCAGCTAAAATCTCTTTCCAACTTCTTTATTAGACATATTTTTCAGAAGCAGACTGGAAAAGTCTATCTGAAACAATTACCTTTTCTTACAGATACAAAAATCATTATGATTTGACAATTTTTGCGTTTAATCATTATATGGAAATCAAAACAGATATTATTCAGAAGTGCCCAGCAGCCCAATACATTGAAAAGTATTGACACAAAACTGAACTTTCAGAAACTATTTGTGTTCTGGAAGTTGGCCCAAATGTTTGGTGAACCATTTAATCCATCGTCATCGACGTTATTTTCCCAAAATGAATTCTACACGAAAATATTCAATTGAAATAATTCATAGGCTGGGATCAGATTTGTGTAGAGTTTCCACACAAAACGTGTTGCGGTTTTTTGATGTCGTAATGTTGAGGAATAAATTATTGCTCTGTCCAGTAATGTTATACAAAACGGTGGTGATAGTGTTTTATGCCGAAATTTTGAAGTACACCATTGAGTATGATATTAAATTTCACTAGTTCGGACTTCCATTCTGCTGAGCACGTGAGAAATACATAGCCAGGAGAAACCAGCAAATTGGAAGTAGCAGAGCAGAGAGGAACACTGTTTTAATAGAAAGTTAGAAGAAGCTGCATATTTGTTGTCCAATGAAGCATTTAGCCTAGATAGCGTATAGATACGGAACATATGGAAACCCTCATCGAGCGAAAAAATGGTCAATTCCCACTGAAAGAGGGGGATGTGAAAGCGTTTGAATGTCCTATAAATAGTCACATTTCGAAGAAATACTCCAGTCATCACCCGAAGACGATTGTGGATATTAACAATCAAAACGTAACCTGGTTTGAAATCTTCTAAGACTTTCATTTCTCATTTTTAATTGTTCAATTTTCAATCAATTTTTCTGCTTATTTTCGTTCTATTGTAATTTCATTTCACGGTTGATGTAATTGTTGTTTTCTTCAACTATCCATTTTAATTTTCAATTTTATTCATTTTTTCAGAGACTTCAAATCATAATATATCATACTAGACAATGGAAGTCCGAACTAGTAAAATTCACCATGAAACAGAGTATGATATTGTTCCTTCTGAGTAACATTGTGTATTACTCTTTCATATATTACATTGTGTAGTGGTTTTATGAATGATATCTGTTTCAATTCCATAACCAATGTCTGTAGTACAAACTGAATGATGAAATTGATTTTTATTTGAAAGTATTGTTTCGAAATGGTGATTCTTCCGGTTTGTATCTGAAATAAATGTCTGCATATGCTCTACGCGTATGTAATTATTTTCTTTCTGTGGAAGTTACTAACTTTCTTAGAGGTTCAAACTATAGTTGATCTGGAATTTGAGAATCCGATTGATAGCCTCAGTTGTTATACATGTGAAATGTAAACTCATATTTCTTCTGTAATAGCAACTAATATAAAAACGATCAAAGTGGCAAGAACATTTGAATTCAATAAAATTTTATCAGTTTTGCTGACATAAAAGCGTAATGCATTTTCGACACTTCACTTGGCTACATGGACAAATACCACGTGACTGTACAATGGAGTACATGACATGTGTTCATGTTCATGGGTTCATGTAATTCAAAAAGAATAGGTATAGTAAGTATAAAAATTTACGCAATCGAATACCCATGTCAGTGTTCATGACAACAAGGATTATACTGAATGTAAGTAGAGTTTTATCCCAACACCAAACTGTTATTTTCAACACCTCGACTCGTATCTCAATGACCAAGTGATCATCTTCAAGAGGTGGTACAACTGTACTAATATTCATTACTATACCAAAGGTTCCAAATAGTGCATCACAAGTGAAGATTATGGTATTATCCAGAAAGCCTTTTGAAAAGAGAAAATCATTGAAAATTGGTGAGTGAGGTCCGCGCAGGAACACGATGATTATTTCTATTTTACGTAACTCGTTTGAATGTTCGAACTACGTTTCATCTTTTCATCATTTTTCAAGTTTTTTTGATGTTTTGATGATTTTCAAAAGTAATTAATGACATGTGACAAAAAAGATGATGAAGTATTTCAGAAAGAAATGTAACACATCTGTTTAACTTTTCAAGTGACTTTTTGAGTACAAAGTTTTCTATATCCTATACTCTTATTGATTTACCACATTTATAATTGAAAAAATTCAAATGATAGCAGAGTTATTATTTTTTATGGTTTGAAGGCGTGACTACGAGGTCATTGGCCTTCTACTATTAGTTTGTTTATCATTTGCTTTCTTGTTCAAATTTTTGAGTATAGCCCAAATAGCTTTCCAGACTTTCATTATGATCTTTCAAACATTCATCATATTGGACACAATTTAGCAAGAAATGTTTCACTGTTAGCCTCTGCCTACATTGTTGGCTCCTAAGAGCATGAATATGTTAGTTAAGTTGGTATGACCTATTCTCAAGCGTGTAATCACAGTTTGTTGTTCTCTTCGTGTCTTTGGAATAGAATGCCTCCAGGGTGTGATTTTTGGCTTCACCTCTGTTTCCTCCCATTCAGTTTGCCATAAATCCATAATCTGTTGTTCAAAATAATGTTTTACGTCTTCCGGTTGAATCAGGAATCATAAGGTATTTCGGTATCTCGTTTGGCTGCCTGATCTGCTAATTCATTACCCGAGATTCCTTGGTGACTAGGAGTCCATGCAAATTCGATGTGTTTTCCATTCCTATTCGTTCAGTGTATGAATGCCAATATGGTCTGTGCTAGTGGATCTTTATTGAATTAATTTTCTAGAAACTTCTTTTTTTCGTTAAAAGCCATTTAACTTATGGAGGATGCTAGGGCAAGCTATATTGAACTTGTTTTATGTTTTATATTAGCTACAAACTCACCGGAATCCATTTATGTGAAAATGATCGTTTGATTCATTTCCTCAATATAGTTTCTCAATCATTTTGAATTATCAACAACATACCAATACATACCTAATCAAAAATTCATGGTGGCACACGCACTTTTTGATTTTCAATTTGATTTTTTCTTGAACACTATCATCTTTCATATGAATATGATCAAAAGTATGATACAGTTCGTGATTCAATAACTTCCACTGAATCTGTGTTAATCTCATTAGACCCATGAAAAAAAGATCCACGGAGAGAATAGGAAAAAGTATCGATATGATAGCTGTTATATCCTCGTAAATCAGGAGACCATAGTATCCAGCCCATTGTGGTCTAAAACAATCAAAAGGTAGTATAGGGTCAGTCGTTAGTAGTGGCCCCGTCAGGAAACCAACGGCATTGAAGAAATGGAGACCAAATATGAAATTGTTTGTATATTTGATCGATTTGTGAACTTCCGAAACTTCCTTTTGGATAGAGCTTTGTTTGAAGTCATCCGAATTCCAGAAATTTTCTAGCATCTTGGTGAGGAGCTCTCGAGTATTCTTCTTCTTGAAGAACATGGCTGATAACTTCAACGTTCCCTTGAAATGAATGAATCATCAGTCATTTAATTTTTGAAAAATCGAAATTTGGTTACAGGTTAAGAATAATTCAGTAAATTGGGCAGAATAACTATAGGGGCGAATCAATATATTTACTAATACTCATTTGCCTTCATTATCGAATACTGAAGAATACAAACAGTGAATCTCATTTCGAAAATGAATTGGATAATCGACCTATATGCATACTGAGTTGAATAATGAATATCCATTTATATGATGGAATCGGCCGATACTTGATGAAAATCCATAACTAACGTATTCCAAAAACACTTTATTGTGAGATTTTCACTAAATTGTTTTACAAAAACGCAACACATGTTTCGCCATACAATGGCTTCATCTGGCGTGTCTTTCAACTAATTCTACACATTCAATACTAAATATATACAGGGTGTCCCTGGACTTCCTCTTTTCCTCTTGGGAATGTATAGATGGGGTCAAAATATCACCAGTACTTCATATAACTTTTTTTCCTAAAAGTCTTCGTAACCAAGTTACGGGCCCTCGAAGTTACAAAATGAAACATGTTTTTCTAACCGTTATTAATCGCGATTTGTTTGATCAAATTCAGCTCTTTCTGGAAATCCCTATCAGACAGTGGAATATTCAATAATCTGTGAAGCATACTATTGAATGCAGCAACCTTATGCTGGTACGGGTGTGTGGAGGAATTATGTATGATAATGTCCGTGTACGATGGTTTGTGGAAAATTGCAAACTCATGTTTATACTCTGTTTATAATTGCAAACTCAGTAAACTCAGACATTTTTCAATTACGTTTGAATGAGAGAAACATTTCAAAAATTGTTTTCTGAGTCACTTAAGACTACTTAACCAAATCGTAGATCAGAACTAGCAACTTAGCACAAAGGCTTGACTTGAGTAGGTGTAGTCAATTTGAATTCGAGTACGTGAATATCCATCTTGACTTGCGTGTCTGTCCTCGATTCATAGCCTTGAGCTTGGGCTACGCCATATGGATTTGAATATGTGTGTGTGTGTGTGTGTGTGTGTGTGTGTGTGTGTGTGTGTGTGTGTGTGTGTGTGTGTGTGTACAGTTTCAGCTTGGGACTACTTGTGAATCTCATGGCCTTGAACGCTCATCTGCCGCTCACAGTCACTAGGATAGCACGGAGACCAGATGTCTGCATCAAAGCGTTCAGTCCGCAATAGCAGGGGAGCCCACGATGCAAAATGGGGATTTACTCGAGCGTCATTGAGCGTCATTAGGTTGAAAAGCTTAAATGATAAGTTGAAAAAAATGTTATATAATATATATCTTTTCATCGGTGGGGGAAGCGGCTATAGATTTTTAAATGTGTAAAAAAATACTGTGGCATGGACATACTCGAGCGCGTCAGCATCAATGTCCTACGTATTTTTAATAATGTTGGTATACTAATCTGATCGTTTGCATGATGTGGGTGGTTGTACGTAAGGGTTGAAAGTGAAAAGGGAAAAAATTTTATCGAGCGCGTCAGATTTTCTAAGGGGGTGTTGAGTGCAACATAAAAAGTTCTCATTCAATAATCTGACGATTTCGATCTGAAGATTTCGATCTGACGCAAACTCGCGGTCATTATTATGATGTGCAAAAAAAATTCGCCATTTTGAAATACTCCAGCGCCTCAGATTCAGATATATATGGTTCATCTTTATGTTTTAGACGTGCTGTCTCATAATCTGACGATTATCTAGAGGGATTCGCTTAATCTGACAAAAACAATATTTTTTTTTAAATTTCGATTCATCGAACTTAATTAATTGAAAAGCTCAGGAAATAGCATGAGTGTATGTTTTTAAGTAGAATACTCGTATTTATAAGAAGATAATTTTAAAATATGCTCAAAAAAATTTAATTTTTTATAATCAATGGAATAATTAATGGAGAAAAGAGAAAATGAACTTTCCATGTTTTTTACCACTTTTATTTGTAACTAACGTTAGTGCAGTTTCGTCCTATAAGGACATTTTCAAACTTATATATTGTATAAGTTTGAAAATATCGTTATATATTGTATAAGTTTGAAAATATCCTTATAGGACGAAACTACAGTAACGTCAGTTACAAATAAAAGTGGTAAAAAACATAAAAAGTTTAATATCTCTTTTCTTCATTATGATTTCCTACCACGTAATAACGGCTACATCCATCAATTAATTGATTATTGAATCATCATCTTCATCACAAACGAGTCTCTGTGATCAGCTGTGATGGCGTCATGGCAACAGAATTCAGAGTGGGGATGGATGTGACAGAGTAATAGATAGAGAAGAAGTGAATAGAGAATGAAGCTGCACGCATTAAACTTTATCGACGAATTTTTGTTATTTCGGCTTGCGGAAATGGTCAGATTATATATTTTTCGTTATCCTTGAATTATTTTCTTTAAAATGAAAAAAAATATCTACGCTCGAGAATGTGACGTTATTCTTTCACAACTGTTCTGCCCTCCCCTTTCTTTACGTCACTCTAAAATTATCAGATTACTGGAGTATACACTTTTTAGCAGGTAATTAACTCACCCTACCCTAATCTGACGCGCTCGAGAATTTCTGACGATCAATTTTTTTTACTAATCTGATCCTTTATCCCTCACAGGCGGCCTTATATATGGGGCTCATATTTGGTGGAGGTACTTAACCAGGTACAAGGTATCCCCCTGTATATTAATCTGCCGCGCTTTTGTAAATCCCGAAATCCTCGCTTGGGCTCTCCTATTACAAAAAGACCCAGCCATAGCAGAAAGAACTGTAGTATCCAAGTATTCCACAATCACGCTCTGCTGTAAGAGGTTGTCTATAGGGATCATTCATCACTTGTGTACACGAATGTTGTGCTCATGGTCGCTGGTGCATGAATATATCTGTACCCGAGGTCAAGCGGCTGAAGCATTTTTTTTAAGGTTATTTTATATATGCAGTCCTTTCTCAAAGTCATACCCCCACACAACAATCTCAAAGTTCTTAATAATAACACTGGAAGATTTTCGAAATCAAATTTCGAATGATCTTTGTTCCAGGTCCTCTGAGGGTTCATTCAATATCATTGTGACGCCAGAGTGATGAGATTGAGGTTCAGAACTGAATGACCTTGAATACATGGCGACTTGGATAGCGGGCACGGTGCTGCCTGTTGACGGAGGGAACTATAAAATTTGAATGAAAACGACAAAAATATGAAAATGTTAGAGTAAAGAGATCCAATGCAAGTCAGAGTTGCTGGAAATAAATGTGCAACAATCCATTTCAAAAGAGAACGATGCTACGGATAGGATGTGCAGCTCGTAAATGGAAGCATCCTGCACCAAAATAGTCACTTCAACGATTGTACTTTCCCCCAACAGCAGGAGAGCCATGGATGGAGCCTATAAGGTCATCAAGAATTCAGATCCCCTTGTTTGCTTGGTCCGCGACTAGGAGGGAGCAGGAATTAGGTCAGCTGCTTCAGAGCAGCTGTAAGAGCGGCTGATGAACTTTGTTATGTTTTCGACACTGATCACAACTCTGTCATCGAGTTGGAATCCGTTCAGTAGAAGGCCCATATGAAAGCTGTTGATATTGAAGGCCTCGACTCACCAATGCAATCGACCTTCTCTTTTCTCAGGTCGAGTGGGTTGAATTCGGAACCTGAGGAGTTTGTCATGGCAGCTATGATGTTGTCTTCAACATCTCTTTCTTTCGTCTTCACTCTTTTCATCTAGTCTTCAGAAAAATGCTTTGTTATTTCCATCCATAAATCAAAACAAAATCTCATTCAATCATTGTCACGGATTTTTCACTACTGTATACAGTGGATGTCGCTGTATCCACTATTTTCTTACAGTTGCAATCCATTATCTGGGGTGAGGGACTACCAATCACCCCAAACTCGAGGTATAGCACCATCGCACCCAGGGTATGCATGACACAGGGAGTAATAAAGTGTGTCGCGAGCGATACCCGAATGGCCAGACGAACTGGCGGGAACGTAATCTCACTTCTGTAGTTAGTGCCTAGCAGAGGCAGGCCTATATTTCCCTAGATACTTGTGGAAATGAAATACCAAAAGTACAATCAGATGATGGAATGAGTGAGGATTAGCATATTTTTCCTAGTTAAAGCTGAAGTTCACTGAGAGGTAATCAGAAAAGGAGAAAGCTTTGACGATACTTTCTGGGAATAACATTTGATCTATACCTTCGTTCTAGATGAACTCTCCGGATGATGAGCAAAAGGTAACATGAAAGACTGAATTATATCTTATCACACAAAATGAACAAAATCCTGAGTAATCTGAAGAAAGTTATGAGAAAGTACGAGAAGGCAAATAAAATAACTTACGGCATGAAACTAGACTTACTAGTCTAGGAACAGCAAGAAGGAAAGTTGAGAATCCCCTCAACCGAGGATAGTGATAAAAATCCCATGACTGGGAGAACTACGGTAGATGAATGAGGTTCTTGAAATACTGGAAAATAGAATGACGAGGATGAAGAAAGGGAAAAAAAAGATTGATGGATGTAGCCATTATTACGTGGTAGGAGATCATCATGATAAATTAGAATCAAAACTTCTCATGCTTTCATATTACAAGTGGTATAAAAACAGGAAGTTTCAATTCTCATTTTTCATGAGATAAATAATGCTTGTAGAACAATTCGAAATATTTGGAATAATATGAGGGAGACCAATGATGAAGATAGATGGTTAGCATTGCATCACATGAAGGAGATAAATGTCTCGGGAGTGAGGAAAATGGTAAGAGAACAAATTGTAAGATAAACGTGTGGGCTCATTATTGAACAAAAACTCAAGAAACTACGGAAAGATGTTAAATACAGTGTAACAAATGATGGAGGATCTCCTGATCACAAGAGAAGTACAAGAAATGGTAAACTACTGATTGTCATGGAAAATGGCAAAGACGTAGTAATGGTGATCAAGTGAACAGTGGAAGAGAAATATGAAGCGCTGGAAATACGAAACATTGAATCAAGAAAGACCCGAAAGACAATTTTCAATCAGTAACTTGAGACCTGGATTAGATAGATCTTGAGCGTCTATAATCTCCTTAGATGAGAAGAAAGCAGGATCTCTGCTAAAAGGATCCTTGCAGATAGGAATTGTGGACTTTGATGTATTCGAAAAAGTGAAACTATTATGTTTTGGCATTTTGGAAATAAACCAGGGGCTGCAATAGCCCTAACAGGAGAAATAGCTATTTCAAATGCGTAGAAGAGAGACACATGAATAGGAGTTCCTGAAAGCTCTCCGTGAAGCGAAGATGTGAAATAAATTGATCCAAATCCCAAGTTTACAAAGCGTGAAACAAAATGCGTCTGGAGTAAAATGAGGTAAACTGAGAATAGACGTAAATGAAAATTATACAAACTGATTGAGGGGGGGGGATAATAGCTCATGACTTAGCGTATGCTACTTGTAGAGAGATGAAAATAGATCTGATGATTATTAGTAAACCAAACAAGAATGAGTTGAAGGAGATGAAATGGCTGGGATATTCTAAAATGGAAAATAAAGTATCACGCGTGAATAATAAAGTCTAGTTGAGCTCCACTAGAAGTGAAGAGGGATACTCAATCTTCGAGTCTGAAATGTTTGGAATGATATACTGCTGCCTGTTACCAAAAATAAGAACAACGAGATACAAAAGAATAGTTCATGAAATAATGAGTCATGAAGATGAGAACAGATAGACGTTCGTGGTGGGAGATATAAATGCCAAATTGACGGGTTCGCAAATACAAGACATTCACGAAAAAAATGTGACAGAAAGACATCAACAAGTAGAATAATATTATGCATCTACGTGACTATGGACACACAAAAAATTTGCGGTTAAATTCCAATCTGAAAGGTGATAGGCAAAATAAAACGAAACCAGAAATTCAACCTTTTGGATATGAAGAAGATGATGTCAAATTACCATCAAGGCATCACGAGAAAATTTCTAGTGAATTGGGAAATCTTCAGAAACGAGGTAACAACCATTCATATGGAAGGAAAGAAAATATACAAAAAAACGCATCATAAAAACGGTGAAAACAAGCTATGGAATCTCATCAAGGAACGGAAGAGTTGAAATAAGAGATGATATTGGTAGACACGTGAGACGAACAAATACAAAAACAAAAAAAATCACCTGGAAAACGACAAGGCCACAGAATGTCAACAAGTACGAGGAGTAATGAGCTACAATATAACCCAATCTTGCCAAGAAGAAATGAGATCGTGAATACTTCGTTTGACCCTGTTCTAAAAAGATGAAATATAGAGGCAGATTAGAATAGATACAACTCTTCTCAGAAAAGGAACTCATAAAATACTGAACACTGAAAAGCCACTGAAGAGATTCGAATTACTCCTGAAGTAGTCATAACGGTATGTAGCTTGAAACTTGAGTTCATTCAGTTAGTTCAGTATGTTTTCTGACTATCTTCAGTAAAGTGTTTGAGGCTATGTTTTGAAACAGACTAATGCCAGAAATAGAAGAAAGAGTGGTTCCCCCAAAATCAGTTCGACTTTGAGAAACACACTCCAAACTGATGGCTGTAAAACACGTCAGAACACAACAAAGTAATGTAAGAGAACATGTTGCGTTTTAGTAGCTCTGGACGTGCGTAACGCATCCAACCCAGTGAACTGGTTATTGATTATTGAGAAACTGTAAAAAATGGGCGTATCAAGATATATGATTAAACTTCTAGCGAACTACTTCATTGGTAGAAATTTCAAGGTTAGCTTGTAGGAAGATTTAAAGCGTAGGAGTAAACCTACCACAGGGATCGGAACTAAGACCTGTACTGAAATATGCTGTATAACGATGTACTGGACTCCTAACTTCAGAGGGCGATTACAAGATTCTTTTCGCAAGAGACCTCATGCTGATGTTCCCATAGAACTGTGCATAGATAGATAATGCATAGAGGAAGGACTGGACTGGATGATGAGCGACAAGCTGGAAGTAACATTGAAAACTGTCAGTACAAAGAATATGAAACGGGATGACATGAAATGTATATTTGGCGATAGAAAATGATGCCTGGCAAAATCCTGAAGTATCTTGGAATCATCTTCAGTAATATAGAAACTATTACAAAGCACATTAAAGAAACTATAAAGGAAGTGTAGGATAGAATACCCTAACTTGCGGGAATGATACCGAATATAAATAGGCGAAGTAGTCAAAAACGAACAGTTTTATGCGAAGTAGATCAGCTCATATTGTTTTATAGTTCCCCAATTTGGCATTAAGCGTAAATGATTGAAAAATATAGAGATAAATTGGCAAATACACAGTGAAAGGGCCTTTTGAGAATGGTGAATGGCATCAGCCAATGATACAGTTTCTGTTGAGGTGCTGTAGCTGACTACCTGTTGGGATGGTTCTTCACGATCTGCTGATCTTTGAGAGGAAGTATGTCTTCCAGAGAGACTGAGATGTCAACTTGTAAAAAATAAGGAAAGAAGTCAGGAGAAGTTTTCGAAAATGACAGAATAGTTGGCATAACCTACAGCGTTCACATAGGACACTGGACACAGCTACTGCTTCCATATCAGTAAAGAGATAAATGACCCTTGTGAGTATTGCGGCCAGTTGAACATGGTTGAAGACGCTACTATTATGCCTTAGTTCAATTACTGGAATTACCTGTGAATGTTTGCGAGTAAATATAATAAACTTTGGTTGCAAAAAACAATAATTCTTCAATCGTTATATAATAACTACTCACTGAATCCATATCAGTTTCTGCTCGACTCCTATTAATATTTTTTTTTCAACCGGTTTTTCACAAAAAAGATTAATGAGTCAATAAGTTTTTTTTTAATTTCTGAAAATTTTCATTTACTTGTTTTTGATGCATATATTCTTCAAATAAATGATCAATTTCAGTATATCTGTGATATCTGTCACATGCTTCAGATCCACCATTACTACTTTCGTGAAGGTTTTTTATTATATGTATAATGAACTGTTCTACTGACCATTATACGATGAGTTCTTTTGGATAAAGCCAGTGATTTTTTTATATGAGTATCATAAAAATTATCTGAATGATATACATGATTTTGTTCCCGCTTTGAAATAATTCTGATTTGAAATAATATAAAAAAACTAAAACAAAATAAAAATCGGAGCTCTTTCAACGGACTTTCAAAGACAACGCTTTGTTGATTATATTAAAAAGTAACTTATTTTCTTCAACAATTTTTAGAGAACAACACAAAATCTACTATATGCGTGTATTTTTCATTTGATTTCTGAATTTTTTAAAAAAAATTCACCTTACTTACATGACTGAATAAAAATAGACAAGTGACGGCATCTGTAACATCAGAGACCGTAACTGTTTTCTGCATGTTGTAAAACTTTAAAATTAATAAAACGACCATACTTAAGGAGCACATAATATTCAATGAGAAAAGAATACATTGAACTTTGCCATAGCCTTCTCTAGGATCACTTCCACACAATCTAAGGATCTTCAGAGAATTATGAATCGTACTGAAATACATGTTTTTATCACTGAACAACCACAGCAAAACTTTTATATGTAATAACTGATACAGGCCCGTACGAGACTTTTTTCCAGTGGTTAATGCACCAATGAATAAAATAATTTTGATTGTTTCGGGTTTGTTGATTTATATGGACAACTTGATTGAAAACTGAACATTTTCTTTGTATTTTGGGAAAGAAAGTTTTTGGCTTTCTACTACTCCACTACTACTTTCTTTCCCAAAAAATAATCACTCCTTAAAAAATATATAACCCTTTCAATTCAAATTTTCTTTGTACTTTTGATGCACTGTTTGGAATCTTTGGTATAGTAATGAATATTACTGGAGTTTTATCTCAACGCCAAACCCTTATTTTTAACACCTCGACACGTGTTTCAATAACTAAGTGGTCATCTTCAAGAGGAAGATTAAACAGTGCAATTGAAATGAAATGAATTCGATTGAAATACGTGTCGAGGTGTTGAAAATAACGGTTTGGTGTTGGGTTGAAGCCCCAGTAATATTCATTATCTTTGGAATTGGTGCTTTCACGGAAGGTAACACTCACACCATCTAATGAGTAGTTGTTCATTTACCTCAGTATCTTTGGTAGAGGATAAATCTAACGAAAATACTTTCAGCTGACCCCAGAGTTATATCACCTTTATAAACATACGTATCAATATCCATTGTGGTATCCTCAGTTCTGGTCTGTCGGAGAAATTTTTGTGATGGGCCAAGTGGGTGTCTATTCCTGAGAAAACAGGTGAAATAAATTTTCAACATGATCGCTCTATTTTTGTATAATAATGAAAACGTTTGATTTTTTCATTCGTAGGAATCACACGTTAAAAGGTGAGACCTCGTTAGTCCTTAGCTCGCACAAGTTTCTCAACTTCTGAGAGTTGCCGTTCGTATGGGGGCGACAGCTGATTAACGGAAAAACAGATTTTTAAACAGATTTTCGTAATAGTTTTCTGGGGAAAACGCTTAAAAAGATTGATTTCAAATTCGAGAATATGTGTGGAATTTGATTTCGAATCGAATGGATGAAGAGTGAGATAGAATTGTTTCAATCTTGAGAAATTACGCACTAATATTATTTATTTATGATTATTTTTCAGTTTTTACATGCTACTAAGACTCTCAGAGTCATTTTCCTGTAATATTTTGGATTGCAGGGAAAACATTTAGTAAGTTTGCTTCTTATGATTAAAACGATGAAAATTAATGACACTATTCATGATGATGATTACATAATTTCCACAAAACATTTTATTTAGGACGCGCTATGAAACAAGATAGCTATACCAGTTAGACTGTTACTATTTAATGGGGTGATTGGGGTTGGGGGGTAGTTACAATGAAGCGAAACATGTCTTGAATTAAACAACTGTATGAGTGAAGATTTAATGATGAGGTTTATCTCCTGAAATGTATGACATATGACAACATTGTATTTTCCGCTCAGGAATTATAATCTGTACTACCATATATGTTATAAAAAATTGTTACAAAAAGAACAATACACTCTTCATTTGCATCAAGTAAAATGCTTTCCAGCAATGTGTCCAAATTATGTATTCATCTCTATCTGAAGTAAATTCACTTCTCGTATGCATCTAGTCTTTCACTGGAAGGTTTTTCATTTGATTTTTAGTCACAACAAAAATTGAAGGTTAGTTGATTCCATTGAGAACTTGAATTTTTTGTTTCAGATTCATAATTGAAGATTTGATGAAAAAAGAAGTTTTCATTCTTAATGCTGACTAATAAAGCCAAAACGTCAGTGTATAGGAGATCCCACGATACGATTTCAAGAAGGTACTGATGTCATAAGTTTTTTCCATTCTGGACTTTTCCATTACCAACTTGAATTTTTAGACAGTGTTCGGAATGTGAGAAATTCTAAAGATTTCAACAATAGGATAACAATCCTATTGTTTTATTTAGATCGAATTCAGTTGAAAACTTGTTACTTACCAATCAATGACTTCATACTATCCATTGTTTTGGAGCATTTAAACAATTTTTTCAACGAATATTCATAACATATCCAACAAATATTTGATATGATAGTTCCATAAAATATTCAATAACACAATCATTAGTAAAAACTATAACTAGAATCTTCAACAGCCATTTTGGAGTTCTTCACACCCCTCATTCATTGAAATGAAATATGAAAATCTTCATTCGGTTTCTATTCAATACAATATTAGGTCACTTCAGAAGTTTTGTCTATTTTTATAAGTCTACTTCAGACTCTAATACCTCAGTGAATAGTAATTCAATATAATTGAAATTAGCGCCAATTGAGTCAGTACATTCTTGCCAACGTAACACAAGTCGATTTATTTCATTAACATGAAAATTGTGTGCTCGAGAAACGATGAAGTCGATGAAGGCCGTTTTGCCTGGTCCTGGTTGGCGAAGGTTGAAACGATGCTAGTCGGTTGGCGAGAGGTCTGGAGACTATGGTGGGTGAGGCAAAACTTCGACGATCAATTTGTTTAATTTTCGGAAGGTAATTTGGGAAACGTACGGACGAGTTTTGTCGTGGAGCAGGATAGGATTTCTTCTATTGACCAGTGCTGGCTGCTGCTGAGGCAATTTGTGGTAGGTACATTTTGTCGATTTCTTCACAAAAGGTTTTTGCTGCCGCTGATCCCCATACAATAAGCATGACATTTTTTTGTGGGTATTCGCCCCTGGGAAGTGCTTGGATCCACTTCTCATCACACGTGACGATCGTTTTGGTTGCGCAAAAGCAAAGAAGAAAATACCACGAAACTTGAGCTTTTTGACCTTACCGAAACGTTTCAAACCATCAAAAACCGCGTGAGAGCTGAAACTGAGTTCATCCGTAATTCCACACCCCATTTTTGATGGGTTATTCTCTAACAGGGTCCTCAACATCCTGGTTTTGGGTTTCTGTAGGTCGACCACTTCGGGGCTCATCTTCTAGGCTGAAATTTCTGGAATTAAATTTCGCGAACCAACGCTTTTGCAAAAATCTCAGAGAAACTGATGCATACGAGGCTTATGGATTATTTTGAAAACAATAACTTTCTATATAAAGGTCTAGCGACACAGAGACAGCAGTAATAGACGTAGTGTGACAAATCCAAATGGAAATTGATAAAAATAAGAAATGTTGTCTCTTGTCCATCGATTTGTGCGAAGTTTTTGATTCAGTTGACCATTGTATATTGTTGAAAAGAAAATTATTCGAAATTGGGATCAGAGGTAATCTTCTTGAATGGTTTTGAAATCATTTTTATAATAGGAGACAATATGTTTATATAGATGATTAAAAAAGCTTCCTTCATAATATAATTTGTGGTGTACCTCAAGGCTCAATCCCTGTTCCTTTTTTTTCTTTTTCACACTTAGTTCACTAACCAATTCAAAATTGAATGGTATAAATAAATTATATCCATTGATGGTACTACTATTATATATTTCTCAGACAGTTACAAAAAAATAAAAGATTATTTCGGAAAAATTCTCATAAGTTGAGGCTCAATTTCAATAAATGTTCATATATTATTTTCCTGATATGATTGATACTTCAAATAATTGGATTATGTTTGATCAAAATTATATTAAATAGACCACAAAAAATTTTATCCATTGATGAGACATATATTGGGAAAATTCGAAAGAAAATACTTATTGAAATTACTCACGAAGTCAGAAATTTCATACCTTTATAATTTTGAAAAATATATATTTCGGTCTCATTTATTTACATTTGCACTATCTTATCTCTGTTTGGTGAACAGCAAGTAAACTATAATCAAACCTCTGAAAACCTACAAAACAAAAAATAAGAAGCATATTATCATATTATCATATTATCATATTTGAAACCAACATTGAACTTATATAAGCAAAACTAATTACTAGACTTGAATTTCCCCTATAAATTAAAATTAGCTGCTTCATTCATTCTGGTAAAAGTAATACAAATAAATGAAACTCAAATTTCTTTCGAATTGGACATAATATATTTACATTCATGTCAGAAGATGAACCAAATCACTGTCAAAAATTAAGATACCTACTAACAAATAATTGTGAAATATCTTATTTCTGTTATTTTATTATATTTTGTAGTTAGTCCCCAATTATAAGCATTTATTGTTTCCTGGGACAATAAACTGAATTGAATTGAGTTCATTTGTCAACCCAATACGAACCTGCTTTGAATAACTCCATTATTGTAGTTGAAAGTTGTAGTCATTAATTAAAATTTTAATTTTTCATACCCCTATCGCTACTTGGAGATGAAAAACACTGTTTCGAAAGGACACTTAATTACTTTCTGAAACTGTGCAACATATTTTTCTATTGTTAACTATTTCTGTAATAAGAAGGCATAACTTCAGAATAATGTAGGAAGTTCACGAGACTTGTCTTTTGAAGCTAGTGAGACAATTATTCGCTGTATTGTTATGTTCGGTTCTATTGTTGAAAGTTATTGATTGAACTTTATGATATTCTTATAAATGGAGAGCCATGTTAGAAAATCCATTTCAATTCTGAGTTATTCATAAATAATAGTTTCCTAAGATATATTTATATTAGTTTAACATGAAAATTATTTGTTCACTAGTCTGGTACTTCTTAAAAATATCGACTGGAAAATATTCCAAATCCATTGAAGTTGGAAAAATTTTTTTTCCTCAATTGTTGGTAACTTCTATATTGAAGATCAATATAGGGTTGGGAATTTGTTTGTTAGGCATTTCTCTACAGCTGCTGTGACAGCTCAGATCATTTTGTACAGAACTTCATTATACCATGCACTTCTGCCAAGAATACTGTTGAAAATCATTTTGGTCTCTCAGATGGTCATTTGAAATTTTTAAAACTTCAGACAATATTATGAACAAAAATTCATATGGTAGTGGTATGTCTAGTGTTACTGCAAATTACTGATATCAAACCATTAGTTTTTTTGTTGAATCAGTTTTTATATGTATGATAAAAATTGAGAATCTCGTTGA